CTATTTACTTTTTGTAAAGGAGGTTACACGTACTCGTCTCTAAAATTTCAAAATGAGTAGTTGTAAAAGTGTCAGTGAAAAGACTTAAATTTTTTAAAAAAAATCTTGAATTTCATGACGAACCCAAACCATCCAATTTGACATCTAATAAATATGAGTGATTATAACATCCTTGTATTAAAAATAAATAATCTCACTATATACAATTTCACACTATAAAAGCTATACAAAAGTTCGTTGCCTATTGCTCTTCAAAACAAAATAATAGAAACCATCACTACCCATCTCTCTCCCTCTATCTCTCTCTCTTGCGTTGGAAATTCTCATGCACCTATACATTTTAGTCCCGCATTGAAGACTTCCAAAGGGTAAGTGATGGTAGAGCATATAAAACAGTACGAGGTAATGGAGAATTGTGGGTGTGTGCCACGTGTATAGTACTCGTGGATGGGTGGTCATAAGAGGGGAGGCCGGGGGTTGGGGGGATGGGCCATCTTTTTTAAAAAGGAGGCTTTTAAATTGTAAAAGATGCGGTTTCTTTAAGGTTGCAACTTGAAATAAGAACATGAAAATTTTATGTAACTTTGGTGTAATTTTTTTAAAAATTATTTGAATTTTTATTTTTATTTTTAATTATTTTAAACTTTTAAAATAGTTAAATTTTGAAAATAAACGGTCTAAATAATGTACAGCAAGATGCACTACTTTTGAAACTCAATTTTTTTATTTTATTTTCATATTCACACTTCTTGATGTCAAGATAATCAATTAGAGGGTTTTTCAACATTAAAAAAACTTTTTTTGATGGATTTTTGAGGTGCATCTTTAATTCTATATTTAATGTTTTTTTCAATAGTAAAACATTAATTATAAAGTTCGACAAAATAAAAAGCACAAAAATTAAAAGGGGGATGGGCCACCACATTTCTCTCTCTTTAATAACAAAATTTCAATTTTCTTTTAAAAAAAGGTGGTTGGTTCATTATAGAGTTGTACTGCCCAGTTCTCTAATAGAGTAGGCCGGTTTGTTCTGTCAAAGATCTAGACGGTTTTCTCTAAGACCGGGATATATAAAAAGAACCGGCACAACGTTACCAATTATGATCCGTAACAGCGAGTTTTCAAACCTTGAAAAAAAGAATGTCGATGTTGTGGGTTCAATCACTGGAATTACTGTCCCACACAACAAAAATTACATTTAAGATAAAATTTGGAGGTATGCCTTGCCTTAATTTAATTGTCGACCTTATCCGAACTATTAGGAAAGATGATTACTATAAAAATTTCTTAGGTGCTGCATATCCAATTTTTTGTATAGTGAGTGAAAAATAAAGGGGGGTTATCATCTGTGCCTAGCAATAGATGTTAACGTTCATGGCTACATTCACATCAATACCGAGTGTATACACTAGTCAATCTATCAACTACTTCAGGACTTCATGAAAGTTCAACTATTGGTTTAGAGCACTCCTTTAATATTGTTTAATAAATAAAATTGGATGATCATTTTTTAGTGTATTAGAAGAGGGGAGTAACTATTTTTTAATGTATTAGAATAGCGAAAATTACAAGAGGGAGTGAAATTTAAAGAGGCAGCCCACATACGGGTGGATTCCATTCCAAGACCACAACACAACATGGTCAACCCACACCGAGGGTTCTAATCCACTTTGAAGCTCCGATGTGTACTGCCTCTCTCACTCACCATGTCGAAGCCGAACAACCTATAGTCCATAATGTCATAGGTGTAGCATGTATGGCCAATGGATATGAGATTCCTCCTGCCAAAGATCATAGATTTTTTTTGGCATGCTTTCAAGCCGGATCCACTGTCCAATCGATGAGTCAAACAGCTGGTATTCTGGAACGGGCTTCCATGCAAACACATTCGACATCATAGTCAAAACCCTGAATTTGCGATGATGATCGGGGTCGAAATAAAATCCAAAATAAAATGCCGAGGATCCTGAAACAGCAGGAAGGCCAGTAGATTGGCCGGTTGCAGGGTTGACAATAGTGAGGACACCCCTGCCTGTCGAGGTATAAAGGATGCCATTACTGCACCCCACCCTCAAATCCAGTTTTCTTAGCATCCAAGAAGAACATAATTTATTAAGGGAAGGGAGACGTCATGGACTTTAAACTCTAAAAATAGAGAGAGAGAGAGAGAGTCAGTGTTTCTAATGAATAAAGATACTAGGCCTTTTTTTTTGTTATTACCATGAATCACCAATATTCAATGGAAGTCAAGTTCACGAATCATTCAAACTCTAAGTCTTGCAACTCAAAATAACAACTATAGAAATAATTAAGGAAAATGGTTTCATAGGGTGCAACCGTATCAAAATAAGTAAAGCCTCACTTTATAACCCATCAAAAATTGCAATTCAAGTGTTGAAAAACCTTTAAGTCGATCATCTCAGCTTGAACATTATGTGTGTGTAAAAAATTTAGGACTTTAAACTCTAAAAATAGTGTATATTGCA